CCAGCCTGCTGCTGCTGCTGCTCGGTGGGAATGCTGCCGTGGCGGTGGTTTGTGCTCTGCTCCTACAGGCTTCTAATGACCAGCTCGGACAGCTAGGCTTTTTATTTTTTTATTTTTTTTTTATTTTTTTTAAGCTTTGTAAGGCTATCTGCTGATTGTATAATTTGTCAAGGGAAAAAAAACTGATAAGCAGAAGCTCTAACTAAAGAGGAGAATCAGGTTGGCACAGTGACAGATGCTCGGGTAAAGAAGTTGGCTCAGAGAACACGTACGGAGTCTGATTTTTTTTTTTTATTTTTTTTTTCCCCCTTTTTTTTTTCCTTCTCCCCCTCAATCTGAACGAAGACTATCATGGGAACTGCATTCACATGGTGATCAAAAGAAGCACTTGAGTGATGAACTGCTTTTGCAGAAGAAGTCTTAGGCAGTAATTTGAGCTTTTGTGTGCGGTAGCTAGCTTGTTTTGCTGAAGCATTCTTCCTCAACAGTATTTCTGCCGAACGCGTTCCCTGACGGAGAAGCCACAGCTACTGCCCGGTGAAGGAAAAAAAATGAACGCTCCGCATTGCTCGTGTCCCTGATGGAGTAACGCCGTCTGCGTTGCTGTCGTTTGGGGAGGCTGGATTCAACCGGCAATATTATTCAAGGAGTTCATTGTCCCTGTGGTCTGACTCATCGCATGTAAATGTACTGCAGCCGTGCTGTACGTTGCAGATATTTTTCTTGCATGGGAAAGAATTCTTTTCCTCTAAGCAGGTCCTGAATAACTGCTGGAAATGAGATGTGTTTTTCTGGCTGGACTGTTTTTGACATTGAGAAAGGAAGCCGTAGAATGACAGGATGATCAGAAGGCGCGTTTATTTTCAGTCACCAGAAAGCCTGCGACGGATGATTTAAAACTGACCTTGCAGGAGCGGGTATAGCTCCGGCCATCTCTCTCGGGGCAATTGTCCCTTGTTCTGTTCTCAACAGGACGGTGTCCTGTCTTCTGCAACAATGATTTCACTGTGGGGGTAGAAGGACGCTGTGGAAGTTGTGACATTAGCAAAGACAAATTTGCTTGAAAGGACAGCTGTGTGCGGCAGTGAGCGCTGTTCGAATGGAATTGGATCTTGGGATATTTTTATCAGCTGTTCCGTGGTTTCATTATTGTGGTTTCAATGCCTAGAGGGAAATTTTATTTTAAAAAGAACAACTTTTTTTTTTTTTCAGCATCATCTTGAACATCTCAGGGTGTTTAAATCTGAAAAATGAAGTGTAAGGGGGGATTGGAATGTCCTTTTTTAAATGCTAATGCACCAGCAGTAGCACTGGCAAGTTTGTGAGGGCATGTAAAACAGGTGAAAGTATTCCTTCTATGGTCCCCATTGCGATACCTGTGGTCTGGTTCCCCAAATACTCTTGTTGGTGTTTTTTTGTTTGCTTTTGCTTCCTCAAACGGATCGAATGAGTCGAGTCTGTATTGTTGTTTTGGAGGAGGTGGAAGATGATTCTCCCACATTTATTTCCAAATTACCTCAGGAAAATGTATCTTTACGTCCATCGCCCTCTGGAAATGTGCTGGTAAGGCATGTTGTTTGTTGGCATCTTTCCTGCTTATAATACTGTCGCAAATACGAGTAGTAATTTTCCTAACATTAACATGAACACGCATGATGTTGAAACTGGACAAGGTGGTAAAAGCTGCCTGTACTAAAGAGGGGGAAAAAGCTGAAACGTAGTTGTAGAACTAATATTTGCAAGGGCTCTTTCTTTTTCATGTAACCTGTTTATGGTGCAGCAATAACATATTTCAACTCTTGTATAATAGCAGAGGGTTTTTAGAGGGCTTGGTAAACTGTATTTGAAGTAAATGGTTTTTCCCTGTTCCAGTCCTCATTCTTCAATGGTCCATTTATGCAGTACCACTTTAGAAACTGATGTAATCATTGTATTGCAATAATATGCTGTGTTTGAGTATGTAGTGTACATCAAGTGAGGGCAATTCTAAGCTAAAATAAAAAACAGCATAAGTCATAGTCTTGATGTAACTGTTAGGTTTGAGTTACCACTTTCTGGACATGATCAACACTAGGCACTGCTTTTATTGCTTGAATTATTTTATTTTGTCAAGACTGACTTAAATCTTGCTAGCTCAGCAGCTTTTCTTACTTACTAAGAAATCCTGCTATATTTAGTAATAGATGTGTGTGAGTGTGAATTTGTTACCATACTTATCTGATGCACTTTCCTTTCCCACTCTATCTAAACAGGTGAAAAACTTATAGTAACTTTAGTCACTTGCTAATGGGGTTTGTTTGCTTATATTGTATAGAATTTGCAGCACGTCACAACAGCCCTAATTTTATTTTGAGGAGTTCTTCTTTCAGCTGTTACAAGCTAGTCTTCTGGGCCTTTTTTTTTATTATTATATTTTATTGACTTAGGGTATGTTTGTTTGAGGTTTTTAAACTTGGAATTTCTTCAGTTCTACATACTGTTGCTGGTTTCTTTATTTCGCTGCCTGGGATGTTCTATTTTGTCACCATCATCTGTTTGTGTTTTATATCAAAAAGCCATATGTGTATCACTAAAAACTGAAATGGGGTTATATTCTAAGATGTGGGTTTTTTCTTCATTTCAGCCACCGTTGGTTCAAGCTATATTTAATGGAGATCCTGATGAAGTTCGAGCACTGATATTTAAGAAAGAAGATGTTAATTTTCAGGTAAAAAACAAACATCGTTAGCTTTGAATACATTTTAATTTTGTTTTGATACAGCTTTCTGCTGTACTAATCATTTTCAAATTTTGCTAATTCATGAGCTGTACATTTTATTGCTTTCATGTAATAGGCAAAGTAAAGCCCATGCATATACTTCTCCTTCCCAGTATTAAGTTTGGCTTTGTAGATCTGTGTTCATAGTAAAGACCTAATTCTGTATTCCTTTCAAATGTTAGTGCTGCACTGCTTGTGTAACTGAAAAGTTTGTTTATACAGTTGCATCAGACTTTCTAAAAAGTTAGACTGGTTAAGTGTGATGCTATGTAGACTTTGATTCTTTTTAAATTAAATACAGCATATAGTATACATTAGACAATTACAAGAAAATAGTCTGGGGTTTCAGTGGTAGTTCTAATAGCAGGTTTTAAAAAGGGAAGCATAATGATTATATTAGTAAGTAAAAATGAGAAATTGTGTTTATATGTCCTATTTGCAGTGCTGCAAAACCAAACACTGCAGACTTAAAAATTGTACTGAAGTGAAATTGAGTTTGTTCCATTGGGTGAAATTCACTTTGTGTTGAAATTCAAGATTTCAACAGCATGCAGTTACTGTATTTACTTTCTATTAAAATTCTGATACGCATGCTTGACGCTATACAAGATGATATACCATAAACTCTTTCCATTGATTAGAAATTGCTTTGATTATTAAAGAAGACTGGCATAAACCATTTAGGGTTTAACACTATGGGAATGTGTGTAGCTGTTTCTCCTCCAAATGCATCAGAACAAGAGTGATGCTAAAAAGCAGAGGCCAACATCTAGATGCTGTATACATAGTAGTCATGATAATGGTTTACACTTTCTTTTTGAGAGATGTAAACCAAAAGGAAATACATAGTTTGGTATGGGTGTTCTGACATTTAAAAGCATTCTGCAGAGCTTATATCTGACCAATGCCAGCTGAAGTATGAGGGAGCCCTCCATTGTCTTGAAGAGCTTGAACAAGACTGTATAAATAAACTTGCTGTCAAATTTAAAGTTTTGCTTGGTAAGGTTGAAATTTTTTTTTCTCATTTTTCAGTATTTTTGCGTGTTCTTAAGCAAGACTGTATGATGGATTATATAATATCAAAAGACTTAATCTTCTGTTTAGTTATGAGAGCATTAGCTCTGTATCGTTCCAGTCTCTTCATATGTGTGCTCTGGCCACGTTGCCATTTTTTTATTTCTAAAACGTGATTTAGTCTGTATTGTTTCATTTATATTCCTCCACATGTAAGTCAGGTTTATCATTCATAGCTACAGTGCCTTTAAACAAAGTTAGGTTAGTATCTTTCTGCTTTTTTGATTCTCTATTACAAAAGCCACTCACTGTTAGGTTTCAGTATGTCTGTGGTAGTGGTTTGGGCTTGGGTTTTGTTCTATCTCAAGTTTTGTCAAACAGTTGCCCATAAATATGAATTCAGCAGATGTGTTCAAACAGGAAAACATGTAATTGTTTGATGTCTTTGAAGAGGGTTACTTCAGACAGCCAGGTGGTTACAGCAAAGAAAAATACTGTAGGTAGAATATTCAAAATCTGGAGATTTTTACTTCTTTACATCTATTTATTTATTTATTTATTTTGGTGGATACATCTCGCTTTAACAGAACATGTGTGCATATTAGGCTAGTAACACACCCAAGGTGTGCTTAGAACCCGTCAAGAACCAGTATGCTATTTTTTCATAGCCACCTTCTTCAGCATAGGCAGATGCTTATCACACATGACCACTCCTTCCTACCATGGCATTCCTAGTCCTACTACAGTATTTAATATTACATTCACATAAATACACCTTAAAACACTTGTTGGGACTAAATGAGCATGTAAATTCTCCCATTGCTTGGTAGAAATGAAGTAAACTGCCTAGTGTTTTTTTCTTAGTCTGTGTGTGTGGTGTTCTTTTCATTGGGTTTCTCTTTGCTGTATGTGCTTGACTGGAGATAATATACCCCTACATAGTCTAGATCCAAAGTTGTCCCCTTAATTATGTGCTATAAATTGGTGTGGCCAGAAGGGGAGGGAAAAAGTGAAGAAAATGAAGTGATTATGTGTATTTCCTAATAAAGAGAAGGATTGTGATAAACTGTTTTGACTGTTGTGGATTGTATTAGACCAGTGTATATATTGGATTTTTTCCACTTCGCTATCCCAAGTGCTTCAGTACAGTTGTTTGAATTCCAGAGTCATTCCCTCCAATGCCTCTGCAGAGTCATTTCCCCCTCTCAAGAGCAACTAATCATCTTGCAGTTTGTATTCCAATAGTTGAGATTCCTTCCTTCCTCCCATCCCCTGAGCATGGGTTGGACTCCGTAACTGGAGACCTAGCAAGGTTCTGCAAATCAATTTTGCCCAGAAGTGAACTGAAGATAGAGCTGTTGTAGGTCTTTGTCGTGACAATGACAATCATCTAGGAAAGTTGTTACTGTCTTGATGAAATGTGGGCGGTGTTTTCCTTCTGTTTTCATCTAGCTTCATTTACTTTTTTACTTTTGGCGTACATTGTCTTTAAGCAAAATTGGCTTAATACTCTTTTAAAGCTAAGGGAGTTGAGTCGCTGTATTTGGCTTCCTGACTCTAGGCTGTGGTAACTGTTTGATGTTATGGCAATATCTAAAGATTGCACCCAGGCTGGGCTGTATTAGAGCGTTACTCCTAAAACAGATGATGTCTTTTCCCATAGTGTTATATTTAGAAAGATTCTGAGATGGGTGGCCTTTCATAATGTGAGTTACTGTGTGTGACTGTAAGATGAGGTACTGATAGCAAATGGGCTTTTTCAGGAAAGAGGTTGTTCTCTGTTCATGCCACACCAGCCTTCTCGAGTCACAGCCTCAGTCTAGATTTAGAAAGCATGTATTGTATTCCGCTCTGCTGTTGTAATCTTTTGTGAAGAAAGAGCAAATTGAGTGTGTCCCTAGCTGCTTAAACTGTGGTTCAAAAAGGCTTACCTCCTCTGCAAGGTGGAAGTGTGCAGCTTTTTTATAGACAACGCTGGTTTATAGGAACTTTGATCAAATGAATTGTTTGGAAGGTGAACTCTCCTGAGGCTCCAATTAATGGAAAAAAGGGAGGGGAAGGGGTTGCTTCTCCCATTTCCCAAGAAAGCTTGAGAAACTGTAGCTGCTGCTCTCATGAATCAGGCTTAAATCACACATATCGCTTATGTCTAGCTTGATACAGTTTGTTATACACATGGCTCTTGCTCTGCTCAGTATTTGCCTATATATGTGTGTGTGTGTGTATCTATGCATGTTAAAAAATCATTATTATTTCTTGGTACGATCTGAGCTTTTGAAGCTTGGCAGTAAGGAAAATCTTGTGTGATAACTGACACATTTAATCTCTCTTTATTAGTTAATGGGGAACCTCCACACTTCCTGTTCTTGCTGATCAGAGTAGTTTGAATTTTGTGTACTTTTCACCAGTTTTAGCTTACTAAATGATTTCAGCATTGCCTTTTATAAATCAGGATTTGTTTGTTTGTTTTTTAAGATTTGGAGGCCTATTACTATTGCAAACTATGCCATTTCTGTTTGTAACCAAAACTTTTATGATCTGTGTTCAGTTTAAAAGATCATGAAAATGGAATATATTTCATCTCAGCTATGTAAGAATATAATTTTGTGGAGGGAATACCAGCTCACTGTCAAAAATTATATAAAGGCTGCAGATCTAACTACTGAAATGACTGTTCAAAATCAGAACAATTTTTCCGCCTCCTAGACCTATTAGGGTAATATTTCTTGCCATGAAAAATGATACTGCACGTAACCCAATATGCAGTTTTTATAACCCGATTGCACTTGATCTTAGCTGAGGGGATGAACATCCGATCCTCTTTGGAACTGGTGTCAGTGTGCCCCTTGCTCTTCTCATGCTAAAGCCAAACAAGTGCTCTTTTTGGAGGAATCACAAAATCACGCAGATCTTTCCCAATGTTCAGAAGTGCTCACTGCTTCTATTTAAAATAGTGGTATTGATATATGTGATAAGTGATTTAAAGATGAAGCACCTGTATCTTACTACTCATTGTGCTTTGTGAGGTTAAAATCGACTTAAACTGTGAAATGTATTTTAAAGCTGTTTTCTGTGTGAGTTGGTGTGGGGGGGTTTCCAACACAAAATGTAAGATGGGAAAATTAAATTCCACATATTGCACTGAGAACTGCAGCAATCAAGGTTATCTGTGTGATTTATAGAAAGCATACAGATACTAGACTATTGGCTATCTAGCCCAGCTCTTAATTTAATGGCTGTTTTTTGTAGTAAGTAACCAAAAATAAACTAAAAGCTCACCTGTGCTACTATTTGGGAAGAAAGAAAACAAAACAAAACCACAGAACCAAACAAACCCAATGATAGCCCGTAAATCCCAAGCGTTGTTCCTGGGACTGGCAAGGGATATGATCCAGTAGCACCAAAGTGCTAGGTACAAATAGGAGGGCTAAGTGTATGTATCTGACCTCGTTATTTTGAGCAATAAAGTTGCTGCGTGGATGACTGTTGCAGTAGAGATGTGGGCTCCCTTCCCAGTCCTGCCAAGTGTGGGTTTGCATAACTCCTTGTTTGTGTTATTTGCATACTAGGAGAATGTTGCCGGATGTCATTCTAGGATAAGATATGATACCTTATTTGATTATCTGTTAAATTTTGTATTTATATTACTCTGCAGGTCACTGCATAGACTGAAAGAGGAGGAAAATTGGTTTGTTAGTCTAGTAACAAGTCTAGGACGTCTCATACAGCCTTGGGTCTGGGTACCAGGAGAATTAGATTGAGGGTCTGAAATATCCTAGTAATTTAGGAATTAATTATGAAAATGAAAGCACAGTTTAAAAACCAAGAAAAGATTCTTTGTGGTGCTGGTATTGGTCAGCAAGGTCCTAAAAGAGGTTAAATAGAAAAAAATGGGTAATGAATGTATGGTCTCCTGGCTTTCATCTTTATACCTA